GCTGGCATGCATCAACCAACGCATCTCAAGCAAAACTAAGGAAGTTATTCTCCAACTCTACGTGGCATTGGTGAGGCTGCAGCTGGAGTACCTGCATCTAGTTCTGACCACTACACTTCAAGAAAGATGTGGAGAAGCTTGAGAGAGTCCAGAGAAGAGCCACTAGAATGATTAGAGGCCTGAAGAGCAAGCCGTATGAGGAAAAGATGACAGACATGGTCCTGTTCAACCTAGAAAAGAGAAGACTTTGGGGGGATTTGGTGGTAGCTTACAAATATATCAGGGAGAACATCAGGGGCTAGGCAAACAACTACTTACCAAAGTGCCCAAAGGGAAAACCAGGAGCAATGGTCATAAATTCCTAGAAGAAGGTTTCAAATTGGATATAAAGAAAAACTTCTTCACGCTTCGTGTGACCAGACTCTGGAACAGACTCCCAGTGGGGTGGTGCAGGCACCTACCCTGGAGATCTTCAAAATGAGACTGGACGCACACCTTGCAAGGGTTATTTGACCCCAGTAATCTTTCCTGCCCAGAGCAAGGGGCTGGACTTGATGACCTCATGAGGTCCTTTTCACCCCTAAACTTGCATGAATCTGTGAATTTGTGAAATTAGCCTTACACCGTCTCAAAGTGCCACTCTGATCTCCTTCCTCTGCTCAATCTGCTATTCTGCTCCCTATTCTATGCTCCCTGTCCAGGCTCCTCCTCTGCTTTCTGCCCTATATGCTGCTGTGCTGCCTGCCTGTCCAATTTGTCATGTGTTACAATAAATTGCCTGTGCCACTTGTAGCACTCATGTCCAGGCTGGCCACCTAGATCTAGGTTGACCTAGAAGATCCACCTTTTGCCTCACTTTCTCTCTTCTTCAAAGGTTAAAAGCCCCAGCTTTCTTCTACTGAAGTTAAAGGAGACTGTCTTGGACTCAGATGGAACCTGACAGGTCCTGTATTTATCTAAGGGATGTTAAAATCTTATTACATCCCCACAGTAACACAATAACCCAAACTCTTCCCTTAAAGAAATGGAAGTAAATCCCACAGATTTCAGAAGTCTTCCCTTCATATTGGATGCCAGAACTGAGATTAATATGTTGTTACTAGGCCAACATTCTGGCTAGCAGGATATATTTCTGATTTTATTGCACTGTGAAAACCATATTAACTGATTAGTTCATCAACATTCTGCAAATAAAGTAACCAACATACCAGTAGTGAAAAGGAGTTTCCGAGGATCCTGAAAAAACAGACACCAAGCAGGCCATCATAAGTCAGTAAGTATCATTTACACACCCTCATAGTTAATAATAATAAAGGCGGGGGTGGTCTACACATGCAATTAATGTGAAACAATAAACTCTGGAGCAGTTTGAGCTGCAGTAAACTGCTCTTGGGAATAGTATCTACATGTGCGCCTGGAACAGCACCAGTTTGAGCTGGGGTGGAGCAGGCCCAGGCTGGCAGGGAGCATGGGGGGTCAGCCCCGGGCTCCAGGTAATGGTGTCGGGCAGCGGAGGGGCTGGCTGGAAAACCAGGGTGCTGAAAGCGAGGAGCCATGTGGCTAGGTGGCAGGCATGAATCTGGCTCCCTGGCTGGGCTGAATGAGTGCAATTTACACCTGCTGTCAGGGTCTACACATGCATTTAATCGCCGTAAATTACCTTGGCATAAGATAGTATTGTCCCCATTTACGGCCTAATACCATCGCACATGTAGATGGTGATGCTTTACTCCACAACTAATTAGTCTACTCCACAGTAAAATGGAGTTCCATGTGCCTTAATAGGACAAGTGTAAAAACAACCTGGAGGATTTTGCCTCCAGTTGGGTAACTTGAGTTTTCCCAAATGACCTGAGTCACTACACTCAGTGATTTCCTTAAAAAAATGACAAATAGAAAAGCTACATTTCACATTCAAAAAGCCAGCTGCCATCCCTATGCATGCAGACAGCTAATGCCACATTCAAAGTCTCTGCTACTTTTCCCATTCAAGCCACCAGCAGTTTTTCTGTTAAGGTCCAAGTCCTGTCAATTCTTACAACATGTGGCACATTGTACTGTCTTTTCAATATTGCAATTTTGATATGATAAGACCCAAAAGAGCATCAGAAGTCATTCAACACATCCCATCGTGGAGTGATGAGGGAATGAGGTACAATATTATTTTTTTAAAGTGCTGGAGAAGGGAGCAGGGGGGGCAGTACAACAAGGTGAAGTAATCTGCCCAAGCCATAAATCAAGCTATTGGTTCCCTGTCCAATACCCTATCCCTTGGACCATGCTGCTAGCTGTCAAACATTAGGTGCAATAACTTTTACTCACTCTAAAGCAGGGGTTCCCAAACTGTGGTACATGTACCCCTGCAGGTATACAAGTCATCTCTGGGGGGGTACGCAAAAGACCACAGACCGTGCAAAGAAACTGTAATCTATAAAACAAATTCCATCTATTTCAAGAAAAATACAAAAGAGCAGATACCCACCTCATCACGATAGTTTGCTGCATTTAGTGACAGAAAATCTTCAGTATAGTTCTGGGAGAAGTTAAGGACATTCACCAGGTGAGCAGCAACATGTACAACTATAAAACCAAACAAAACTCAGACCACTAAACTGTATTTTGTAGGTCTTATAAAGTGACATCGTTGATGTCACAGTCCTGGAAACTCAAATTTGTAAGAGATTTCCTTATTTTATACAATTGACCTTGCAGAACCAGGTTTTATGAGACTTACTGGGATGACTGCATCAGTATGCTGTTGTCCATTCTATGCCTAGATTTTTTATGTATAACTATCAATATTTTCAGTATCAGTAAATATCAGTATTATCTATGCATCATCTTTCCTTGACAAGTTGAACAATTGCATTCACTTACCTACAGATTTTAGTTAAGACTGAAATAAATGGAAACAAGATCAGCCCCTAATATCTTTTTTTAGTTGGTAAGATAGACCAGGGGTTTTCAACCTTTTTTAATAAGTGTACCCCCGGCAGGTGGACACAGAGTGGGAGGGAGAGTGGGGAAAGTAATGCGTGGCTGGGCATGAAGCAGCAGCAATGCAGGGTGGTGGGTGGCCATGTGCAAGCTTCCTTACCCCCCAGCCTTGCCTGTGCAGCCCAGAGGGCTGCTGCTGCCCTCGCCCCCTACCCCAGCCCTGCTCCTGGGAGGCAGCAGTGCAGGGTGGTGTGTGGCAGCTCTCCATCCCTGCCCACCCGTGTGTGCCTCCTAGGGCCTTCCCAAGTACCCCTGGGGGTACGCATACCCTCGGTTGACAACCCCTGAGATAGACAAATACCTTTACCTGAAAACACAGCTAAGTTTTAAACTTTTTATATACAGTTTGTTTTCTCTGATTGGCATATGAGGGGTGGGAAGACAGGACTGAATCCAAAGGATTTGTCAAAACTGTGTTCATGCTTCACTGAATTTGGCAATTACAAAAAGACTAACAGGCCTTCTCTATCTCTAACATCCGTGAATCTTCATTTAAACTGATCATACTTTTTTTCTCAAATTGATTATGCCAGGACCTTTTAAGTTGATTTCACATCAGCAATCAAAACTGATCCTTCAGAACTTGTAACCTGTGAAGAAAAAGCCTCCGCACCAAGACGTGAGTCCTGCAATTTTAGAAACAGCTGAGAAAAGACTTACACTTGTACACAGGCAAACACAGAACAAGACTACCCCCAAATATACCATACAATAAAAATAAGTAATTAGGATTACTCTACGCAGTTTCCACATGAGCTAGGGTTCAAGACATTAAGAAAATCTTACCTGAAAAGATGCATATAGTAACCCCACACATCACATGGAAAGTTTTGCTTTTATCCAACAGTCGCCTCATTTTCCTGCTGGCAACCTAGTAAAAGAAGAATTCAAGCAATCTGTCTTCTAAAATGAAGCAAAGCAAATAATGTTAAAAGTAACTGACATCAGAGATGTGACTTAATTACAAGATTATTTTGTGTACTAGGTTTAATGACATTTAATCACAGAACTGACACACAGTAAGAACAGGATTATGACAGTAAAGTAATTCTGCTAGCTGGAGGCAGAAATTACTTGGTGAGGTTCTGTGGCCTGTGCTATGCATGATGTCTGACTAAATGATGGAAATGGGCCATGCTAGTCAAAACCTATGAATCCCTGCACTGAAAGTGAAATAACTTCTTAGCTGCAAATGACCAGTAGCACAAGAAAAGTATGTGTTTATTGTGCACAGTCAGATTCATAGACCATAGTCACAGGATGAAGATGAGAGTTTTCTTCAACCTGTAACCATCCAAAAAGTGCACATTCAATGAGACTGCACTGCTTTAAAAGTATTACTTGTGTTTTTGTGGGTCACAAGCCCTAAAATTACTGTTTCTGGGAAACTTGCAGAGACCAAGCCCACTTAATTTGTCAGATTTCTCTTTTACATGATGTCCATAAAAATATTTGGTTTGGGATTCAGTCATGTCCAAGAAAGCGCTTGTCCAGGCTGAACTAAGTGAGGAGCTGCAGAATACTTGGAGGGAGGGAGACATAACTACCAATTTATTTGCGATGGTGTGCATTTGCCCTTTGCAAAGTTGGGGGTGGAACCTGTCCCCCAGCCACTTTGGTCTGTGCTAAGCTAGCAGAGAATAGCTCTCACGTTTAGAGGACAAACCCAGCCATGGCACAAGAACAGAAAAAAGGAAATAAGGAAACTCCACTTTTACATACTTCTCTAACAGTCTTCTCATCATGCACCTATGACCTTACTTACCAAAGCAAGATTTCTTATCTAACATAGGGTCCAAGACAACTGCCTAGTCACTGACTTCAAGGGCAGCATGCCTATACCATGCACAGCTATGGTACCTGCCAGCAGACCAGCATTGTGAGCCAAGATAATGCATAACAAATAAAGTCTGCATCATAATTTTTTAATATTTATTAGGGATGCACCAATAAAGATTTTCATGGCCAGTACTGACAGCCGATTATTAACCAGCCATATCAGCCAATACCAATGCAACTCAGAACAATTTGTCACCCCCACTGCTGCCAGGCAGGCAGGAGGTGCATGGCTGGCATGGGACTCCTGAGGGCAAGGCAGCAGAACATACAGCCTCGAGCTCACAGCTAGCAGCCTGCATCCACCCACAAATCAACTATGAAACTGTGAAACAAATCTGGGGGGGCACATGCCCCCCATGCCTTCCCCAGGAGGTATGCGCAGTGGCAGGGAGCGCCCCCCGCCCGCCATGCCCCTTGGACAAGCTGCCTGTGGCTCTGTCCCACTCCTGCCCTAGCCCCAGGTCCCATGCAGTGCCCTGGCTGGGCAGCACTCCCAACCCCAGCGCCACCCCCAGCCCCTGCCCCACTCCCTCCCTCATCATGGGCACCTTGATCTGTACCCCCATGCTCCTTCCTTCCCCAACACCTCTTCCCCTCCACAGACTTACCTCCAAGGAGCTGCTCTTCACACTACCTAGCTGTTTTCCTGACCATTGGCCATGCACATGTGCCCCGCCCTGCGTGTCACTTCCAGCAGCCCCAAGCAGGACCTCTTGCAGGCTAGGATGCTGCCTGCCTGCAAAGGGAAACCCACTATTTCCCAAAAGAACCCAGGCATCCAGGGGCCCTGGCTGGAAGGCATAATTAATTATATTTATTGCATAACATTATCAGCTACAACAGCCAAAAAAAGCTGTTAGCTGATAATGTAAATTCCCTTTTATCAGTGCCGATCCAATATGCAATTGATATATCAGTGCACCTCTAATATTTATCTTAGGATTTTGTGTCTGCAGTGCACAGTGCCCTCTCCATTGTAACTACTGGATTCCAACTGTTGCTTACCTTCTGAGATCCACGGAGAAAGGCCAGGAGAATACGGCACATTGGTAAAAGGATCACGCTGCAGTTGAGGTTGAGAACAGATGCTGAAGCTCTGCTAATACACAATCCTAGCTGAACGAACAGAGTTAGAGTCAGATTATGAAAAGGAAGTCTGGCCCCATTGTTAGGGTCCTAGCATGGGCATCTAGAGATCCAGGACTAATTGCCCAGCTGACCACAGACACTTTTTTTTGGGACCGTATGCAAGTCAGCTGTTCTCGCTAGGCTTTGAATCCTCATCTCGATTCAAATAAAACCTCCTCAGTTCGTAGAAGAATGGAGGTGTACAAATAAATGCATGAATAACTGTGAGGGCATACAGCACTGTAGATATGGAGCAATATGAGTTGCTACCATAGGTGTGAACAGGTGTTTGGAATTTCCTCACAAACTACCAGTGCAAGAGAATCCACATATTCCCAATGAGCTATTTTGTTAATGCTGTGGTCTTTGGATGCCCTCGTAATCTGAGGGAAACAAACACCTCATGCATTCTACAAAAATGTCAATATTTTCCCTCCTTCCTGCTAAATATCAGAATGGTTTCTCAAAATTAATGACATTCACCCCAAAACAATGGTATTAAAATCCCTGGGAGGAGTAATTAAAAGAATTCTTTGCTCCTCCCTACAGGAATTTGAAGAAGTCCAAGAATTGCCTCTCTCTAGAAGCAAAAAAAAATTTTAAGGTTTTTTTGAAAGCCAGGCCTTCAATCTCCCATTCTCTCTTATCCATCTCTTACCTACATGTGAAATCAGTGCACCTGAAGAAACACCAGCATAGTTCACTGCTCCACCCTGGCTCAACGTGCTGCAGAGGGGCTGGCTAGGGCACAAGTGCAGGCAGCCCCCGTACTATTGCACCTTCATGCCCCAGCCAGCTTGGGTCACTATCTACATGTGTATTGTGGCCGAGTAAATAAATCCATTGTAAAATAGTACTTGTGTCAGGTAGTACTATCCTGAGGTGGAGTTAATTAATTTACACCAGCCTAATAGTGCTGCACGTGTAGATGGTGATGCTTTACTGTGCAGGTATTAGTCAACTCCACAGTAAACCGCACATGTAGATGCCCCAATGGGAGCTGGACCCAGCCTAAAATAATCAGGATCATTTGTATGTCAACAATTTATCCCTTTGTACAAAAAAGAAACTGCCACCCTAAACTGTGTTTGTGAGCCCAAAGAAAAGAACAAATCAGAAGCAATGCTATGTCCCATTGAGAAATCACCTGAAAAGTTGGACAGATAATTAAGCAGAGAAAGGGATAAACAGCATGAAGACCTTCATTAGTCGCCTAACAAAAATATAATGACTTTGTGGCAAATAAGCCAGAAAACAATGTCAGAAATTAATTCAACTAAATTGAAACATTTGGACTGATTCAGAGATTGCTGGGTAGATTTACAGTCATTCCTCCCCAATTTACACAGTGCTAATATACACACTCTGAACTCTGGACCCAAAGTAAGTAGTCTCTCCTAAATCTTTAGGTATTTGATAGCTGGGAAATCAGGTGAGAGCCTCAATTTACTAAAGCATCTACAAAATATGCTACATAAAATTCACTGACATGCATGGAACCTATTTATTTTATAAGTAAGCTACACTTGTTGAAAAATAAATGAGGAATATACACGTTGCAATGCCATGCCCCTACATTTGATTATCTTATCATGCTCATGTGTCTGCTCATGCATTTACTAATTCAAAAAATGTAGTAATTTGCAGTTGTTCTCCAAGTTATTAGTTTGAATTAGTATTTTACTACTACTTTTTTCCCCAAAGGTGCCATTAGCTTGTCAGTACATAAGAACACTTATAAAGATCTTTGTAAAAATGCAATTTCTCTCCCCAATAAATTCAACTTAAAACAATTCAATTTGGTTTAGCTGTTATACGTGCATGTATTTGAAATATATAATATGAATGTTATGTTAAAGATGACTGCTATTTTTGTCTTTTTATGCAAATTATTTTTTCTACTCAGTGAAACATTTTGCCAAAAAAAAAGGGTTTCAGCACAAATCAAAGCCAAAACATTTCCAGCAATTTCTCCCTTTCTTTAAGGGGAGAAAGGAAAAGAATATTTAAATGTTGGGAGGGGGGACTGTTTTGTGTTTAGTAAAAAAAAAATCCCAAAAAATATGCCAAAAAAATTGAAAAAAAATATTTTGTCCTTCTTTCTAACTGTTTGTGGCAAGTACTTACAAGTGTACCTCCAGCTCATATTATATATATATATGCATTATATATTAGGTGCATCTGTATAGAATTAGTTATAAAAACAGATACAAATTACACACACATGCAAAATGAAAAAGTAAATTAACATCTCTACTATTTTAGAAGCGACACAGGCAATGTCTACCAAGATTATGTCCACTGTAAGATGAAAGAAGATATTCAAACCCTGATTAGAGGTAAACTAAAATCTAAACCCCATATGCTTATTAAAGATCTCACAACACCTCTGAAGAGCAGAGGTCACAAATCTGTTTTCTTGCCCAAATTCTTCATGGGGGATTAGATTTACTGTATGCTATCCAATCTCCTCCTCTGTTAAACAGTATTCTCCACTTCCTGCCTGACATGCTATAGGAGCTGCTGTACATTATTTAAGGAATGCTGTGTTTCACTCCCCCAACATGGAGGAAGCAATACCTATGAAGGATACAGGGGAGAAAAAAACTGGATTCCTGAGACCCAGAGCATCACAAAAACACCCTGGGGCCCCTGCCACACATTACATTTAAATGTCATTAACTAGCTAATCACATCTTAAGCTGTAACACAGCTGTACTTAAAGCAATTAATGGCATGGCTCCCAGCTGCAGGAGCACATGGTGTGCCCCCAAACCTGGGAGCCCAGACCAGCTGACAGGAGCTCATGTTGCACCCCTGCCACTGGAAGGCCCTTCAGCTGAGGGGGCTCCCAGATGCAGGAGCTTGCTACTTGCCAGTACAGGGGGAGCCTGGGATCATGATCCTAGGCTCCTCCTGCATTAGCAATAAGGTGTGATGGGATCTAATACTTGATCCCATACATATGTGACAGGAGTGTTTGGATTGTGCATCAGATCCTATCACACCTTTACCTGCATGTCTGGCAGGGGTCTGAGGTTCAGACTGCAGTGATCCTTTATTCTTACACCCCCATCTGGGGAGATTTCTAACCAATGCTCACAACGGATCTTTATTCTTAATACAGAAAAAGAAACCTCAAA